GGCTTGTATTAACCGCTCGGTTGCTTTATCGACAGTTATCTCTTCTTCTTCTTCTTCTTTAGTAAGGGCAGAAGTAGAGGCAGAGGCAGATCGACGGGCGCCTAATAGCTAAGCACTACGGCGTTAGCGCTTCCTAGCTAGTAGTGCGTTAGTAGAAGGCCTAGTAGGATTAGTACTATTAGAAGGAGGGTTAGAGGGTACCGCCGCTATAGTAGGTACCTATTAAGCCTATTAAGCCTATTAAGCCTATTAAGCCTATTAAGCCTACTAAGCCTGTTAAGCCTACTAAGCTAGGCTGCCTTATATACCGGACTAGCGTATAGTATTCGCAAAGGTAGATCGCCTTAATAACTAGTTTAGGTTGCGCTGCTCTGCCTCTATCTGCTATAGAGTCCTATAGGTTACTAGACGTAGACGTAGATCGGCTAAACTACCTTTAGGACCCTATTCTTCTCCTACCTGTTTAGTAGCATCTACGATAGCCTTCGCTATAGCATCCTACTTTGCCTTCTGTTCTGCCTTATAGGCATCCTAGTTAGCGTATACAGCTTTAGCAATGCTAATAATAATAGTAAGCAACTCGTCGAGATCCGTATCCTTATACTACTATCTATTCAATTCTAGTGCGACCTATAGTAACCGATCTTTGCTAAGATTTACATCCTCCTATATATCTATTAACCGAGCTAGAAGGAAGACCTCCGATACAGACTATATTAGCCTATCCTTTATATATATACTAGCTAGTATGCGAAATAGGCGGTTCTTACGCGGGTATAGGGTATTAATCTTCTTTAAGTACTAGTCCTTAATATGCTTAAGCCTAAAGCTCGGTCTTATACCTTTACCTAGTAGGTTAACTAGCTTAACGCGCTTAACTAGTAGTTTAGGTAGATTAGCTATTAGATCGGTATTATAGAAGTTGTAGCAATCTCTTCTATCTACTTAGCCTAGTAGGTATAGAAACTAGGTTAAGTATTCGCTATAGTGCTTATTTATTACTACTCGAAAGCAGCGGCCTAGTATCTTTAGGTAATCGTTTAGCGCACCTAAGAAGACCTTTAGAATGTTCTTCCGGCTCTCTAGCTTAGATTTATTCTATATATTACTCTCCTTAGATTTGCCCTTGCGGCCTCTAGAAGCACTATCTCTAGTATCGGTATTAGCGTTACTATATATATCGTCTTAGTTGCTCGCACTACTAATATCCTTACTAGGAAGCTCTTATCGCAACCTACTAGGTCCGGTAGTATATACGCCTCTGCCTCTACTACGAGCACCTCTGCCGCGACTACCTCTACTACGACTACGACTACGACCGCGCGACTACGACTGCGACTATAATAGTAGAAGGATAGAAAGCATGCTAGCACCTTCCGGCATACGCTTAATATAGTCTCCGGTATAGTATAGCACGAAGACGAATATACGAGGTCGATAGAAGTACGGCTTATCGAAGAAGCTCTCTATATTTAATAGAGCTAGTCGCCGAGCAATACGACTAAGTCGCTACTAAAGGTCTCTAGGATTGCGAGTAATATTAAACTTATATTAGTATATATTAGCGATATTAGGTACGTCTAACCTAATGCTTGCTATAGTAGTAGCTGCTATATAACAAATAGCGGAGTCTAATTTACAATACTCGTCGTATTAGTCGTCCTAGTCTAGCTTTAGCACCCTTATAGTATAGAAGGAGATAGTACGGGTAGCATTAACGCCTAGACCTACTAGGCTATATTAGTACCTCTTAGTTAGATCCGGATTGTCCTTAGTTAGATATAGTAACTAGCTACGGGCGATATCGATAAAGTTAGCGATATACTTATAGCTATCGATAAATACTAAGGACTTGCGCATATTCTATAGTATTGCTAATCCCTTCGTAATCTCCTTCTCTTCTCTATTAGGAATTAGTAGATAGGATACGGCATTATCGATTACTATATATAGCATATCGTAGTCGGTTAGATGCTCCTTTAGGATAAATTTAATAATATATGTAATTTCTAGGCGATCGATGCTACTACGGATAATCTTAGTCTCGTACGGGTTAGGGCCTTCCTTACGTATACCGGTATACTTTATCGTATACTTAGTGCATTCTTTATCTATAGTCGCCGATACTAATAGCGTACTAGTATCGATACGTAGGCGGTTACGCATTTAACCGACTTACGAGTATTCGCCCCGGAAACTAGAAGGCTTACCCTAGTTATAGATTAGGTGCGCCTTATCGATAATAACTAGACCGACTCGCTCGCGGACCTCTAGTTTATTAAGTAAGGAAAGGAATTAAGGTAATGCTGCCTATTCTAGACTAAGCAATAGGTGCTAGATCTTACCTTTCCGGATATTCTCGAATATACCTAGGTCGATCTTCTTACTCTTAGTAGAGATATATACTAAATAGACGATATTACTAGTATTGCTAGCTATACGCTCGATAGATACTACTTGTTCGGCGCCTAGGCGGTTTAATAGAACTACTTAAATAGTTATTATACTAGTTAGCATTATAAAGCCCTAGAATAGCAGACTTTTTCCCTCGCCTATACGAGCAATAAATAGGACATTATTCTAGCTATAGATAAGCGTATATATTACTAACTTTTGCGGTAGAGTCGGAGTATATACTAAACTAGGGTGCTTGAATTCGAGGATTTTAGTTAAGCCTTTCTTAATAATCTCCGCCTAGTACTAGACAGTTTCCTTAAATTAGCCTACTTGCTATACTAACTCCTATATACGCGTAAGCGGTATCTCTAGATCTATAATCTTCTCGATACGTCGCTAGAAGTGCTATAGCTATTTAGATTTTAATTGTAGTAGCTTTATTAGTAGCTCGACGCTAAAGTCTAGACGTACGCGTATAATAGTAGAGCGACCTAGCAATAGCGCTTAATATAGTTCTTGTCGCTTAAGTCGCTACTTCTTCTAGCGCGTAGCCTTTTTATTTTCGCGCTACTTACGGCGCTGCTTATTAGACGCTATACTAGACGCTATCGAGTGCTAAAGGAATTAGATACTATATAGCGTAGCGCTAGTCGAGTACTAGAGGAATTAAAGAGTTAGAGCGATAGCGGCGGCGGCGGCAGCAAGGTCGAAATCTAAACCTTATTCTACGGATATACGGACCTATAGCGGAGCCTGTATAATACTTAAACTCTTAGACCCTATACTGCGTTTGTCGATATTAGGCTATAGGTTAAAGTTCTAAATGCTAAGAACTAAAGAGATAGTTTCCCCTACTAGATTAAAGCGACTATATAGGCTAAAGTACAGATTAGATAGATACGCGGAGGTTATAGAGGGCACTAGAAAGGTAGACCTCCGACGATTTGTTGTCGCTATAGAGTGTCGTTTGTTTAATCGTAAAGTATATAGGGGTAGACAAACGAGTTAGGCGAGACTAGTAATTTATATTTCCTAATAATAATTCTCGAATTTATAAACCAATAGTATTATTAAAATAGCGGATATTCTTAATTACTAAACTATCTAGGAACCGTCTCTATAAAGTGCTATACTACGGGTAATAGTTGTTGCGGTATTCGAGCTAATATATATATACTAGTAGGTAGATAGGCGAGCCTATACCTGCCTAGAACGGTTTGTCGTTAGGCGCTTCGCTAGAATAAGATCTCGAATAGCGCTAAACCTAATGTAGTATAGTATAGAAATAGAAGTTACGAGTAGCATATATACGAATTTAACTATAAAGCGCCTAAATAGAGGTAGCGGCGGTAGAGCGAAGCCCTAGCGTAGGTCCCTTAACTAGCGCTTCTTATTATTAAAAAGCGAGGTATTAGTATATTCTTTATCGGCGGCGGCGGCGGCGGCGGCGGCGGCAGCAGTATTAGCCTATAAAGTATCGTTCAAGCCCTATAGTGCTTATCCTAATCGAGCGGAGCGACGGCGTAGAGCCCGAGAACAATATTAGATTTTACCGTTAAAAGTCGCTATAGATTGTGTTTGTTTTGCTATAGAAGGTCGTTACTTCGTTAGTTGCGGAAGAGGCAGGTATAGGGGTGTCGTATAGTGCTATTATCGCATAGTACTATTGTCGTATAGTGCTATTATCGTATAGTGCTATTATCGCATAGTGCTATTATCGTAGGGCGGTTGTCGTATAGGGCTATTAGCGTATAGGGCTGTTAGCGTATAGTGCTATTATCGTATAGTGCTATTAGCGTATAGTGCTATTAGGGGATTATAGTACTGTTAGTATATTATATAGTATTGCCTTTGTTATAGGACTATTAGAGGGCACGTAATAGTAACTTGAATTGTTAACTAATTATAGCGCGCGCTCGATTTTGCGGGCGCATCTTTGAAATTCAGCCCTCCTACGCTAATACTACTACTACTGCCTCCTTACTACTAATATTAGCTACGTTATTAGTAGCAATCTAATTTGTTCTCGAGCTCTACGCTAGACTAAATAGACACCTTCTACAACCTTCGTCGTAAGCTCCTTAGGTTGCTCTAGGTGCCTGTTTTTAGTCTGTCGCTCCGCTCGAATAACTATATAGAAGGGCTCGATATAGTAGCGATAATAAGGTACTAGTAATAATAAGGTATTAGCGGTAATAAGGTGTTAGCGACAGTAAGGTAAGGCGAGAATCCTATAGCAGAGAAGATAGAGGTAGAATTGGTAAGGTATTACTAACTAATTTGCCTTAGGCTCCTCCGTTGCCGGAGGGCGGGTTTACATATAACCAGGGCAGGTTTATGAATAGTCACGCCCCCATCTCAGCCTCTCCGTGAACTCGCCATGGAGATCGTCCGGCTGGTCGCTCATGGGAGTAAGCAACATATCTTACGCGATCGCGGCGTTTGAGCGACCTCGCCCACGCTGAGGCCGAATGATGCAACGGCGCAACACATACCCGAGCTGCTAATACTTAGAAAGAGCGTAGGCCGGATGCAGCGGTGCGGACAACAGGTGAGAAAAAGGTTCAATCATCAGATTACATCTCAGGGCCTCGAGAAACACCATGTCTTCCTCCTCAACAGCTCCAAGCAATCCGGATGGAGTCACCGGCCGGCTCTGCAACTGGATCCATGACACACGTTACGCAGATATCCCAACCGAAGTCATCGAGCGAGCCAAGTATCTCATTCTGGACGGCATAGCATGTGCTCTAGTGGCATCTCATCTACCATGGTCCGAGATTGCCGCCAATGGCATCTTCAAGATGGAGCCAGCCGGCCAATGCACGGTCATCGGATGGGAAGGCAAGAAGCTCTCGCCCATTCCTGCTGCCATCTTGAACAGCACTTTCATCCAAGGCTTCGAGTTGGATGACTATCATTCAAGGGCTCCGCTGCATTCGAACGCAGTACTTGTGCCTGCTCTTTTCGCTGCTGCGGAGTCGGCCGAAGATCCGTCCAAGTCTTTCACTGGAGAGGACTTCCTCGAGGCGTATGTTATTGGCTGTGAGATCGGACCTCGCGTTGGACTGGCTCTTCGTGGTGGTGACCTGTTGTCGAGAGGTTGGCATAGCGGTGCCGTGCAAGGGCCTTCAGCATCCGCGGCCGCAGTATCCTCTTTTCTAGGCCTCACTCCAGCCCAAACAGAATCAGCTCTCGGCATTGCATGCACACAAGCTGGTGGTCTCATGTCAGCACAGTTTGGTTCGATGGCCAAACGGATGCAACACGGCTTCGCATCTCGAAATGGCTTGTTCGGAGCACTAATGGCCAAGGAGAATTACACTGGCATCCAAGAAGTATATGAAGTGCCATATGGCGGCTTTCTCAGCTGCTTCGGTCAAGGCATCACTCAGGAGCCCAAGACTTTTCCAGAGCAGCTGATCAAGGGCCTTGGCTCTCGATGGGAAATCCATGGTATCAGAGTCAAACTTCACGCCGCGATGGCTGCTCTGCACAGCACGATTGATTGTATCGCGAATCTGCAGAAAGCACATCCAGATCGATTCGTTGCGGAGAAGCTCGACGGCATCGTTTCTGTTAAAACTCAGCATGGCAAGCCTGCTTACGAACACGGTGGCTGGATTGCACCTCCAGACAAGCCGCTCACGAGCACCGGAGCACAGATGTCAATTCAGTACGCTGCTGCGGCCCAGCTTCTGGACAGAGAGGTGCTCATGGCACAATACGGCGCAAGCAAGCTCAATCGGTCAGAGATCAGGAACTTGATGTCGCGTGTTCACCCGGAGCATGATCCAAAACTCGATCAAGGTGACGATGCGTTATTCAAGACCATAGTCGTCGTGAAATTCAAAGATGGCAGCGAGCTCAAAGCGATTGTCAATGCGCCGAAAGGTATTGATCCTCCGGCAAGCAGCGAGGATATTGTGAATAAGTGGCGAATGCTGGTGAAAGATATTCTGAGCAATGAGAGAAGAGAGGAGATTGAGAAGAAGGTGCTGAGTCTGGATAGGTTGAGCGATGTCAAGGAGTTGATCAAGCTCCTTGGAGATGATGTGAAGTGTCCGATCGATGTATAGATACAGGTCCGACGTGATCGGCATTGCTCACTGCCAGTGCGAAGAAGAAATCCTGTTTTCGGGTGAGTTCTGGCACAGCAGGATATCCACATTCTTTCTTCTACTCGACCACAGCATTCAAGCGCTCAGATCCCTTCATACCTAACCTCCGTCTAAACGCACGTTCCACGATACCGACATCCAATCCTCTCAAGACCAACCACGTCCCTCCACCCTCTTCCACCCCTAACTGGAGTCTCTTAAATTTGAAAGCTTACTTATGAACGACTTCTTCCCAGTATTACAATTAAAGGGACGGATAATGTCTCAAGTTCCAAGTCAAAAATTCGACTTCGACATGCAGTTATACGCGTATATATAGCTAGTATTGATCTCGAATTAGTATCGAATACTTGTATGAGAAATGGATGGACATGGGTTTCTCGGATTAGTAACCATCTAAAGAACTTCTGGCTGCGTTGGAAAAAATCTTCCTTCCTTCCTTCTGTATACCTAACAAAGTTATATGATCATCTCGATCAAGCAAACGACGGTGACGGTGAAAAAAAAGCTCGCGACCTCCCTCCCTTCCAGACTCACTTCGCCTTCAACTTCCGAATCATAACAATCCCACTCTCCTGCAACTGCCACCCACACCCATTCCTCACAAGCTCACTCCACTCCGAATCCCCACATCTCTCCACATAAGCCTTCTCAGCTTGCATATACCCTCTCCCCAAACACTTCAACGCATGCAGCCTCATGCGCTCCACAGCAAACTCCAAAACCGCCCTCTGATACCCATCCACAACTCGTCTCAAGCGCCAAAACCTCACCCAATCATCCCTGACCAAAGCTTTGAGCACCGAATTCACCCTTCGATCTCTCTGCCGAAAGCGCACTTTCACGGCGAAAGCATCGAGGAGTTCGTTTTGTCGACAGCACAAATCCAAAATCTGGTAGCCGGAGAATTCTTGGATTTCGGGTTCGGATAGGGGCGTGTGGGGGTGGATTTTGTGTAAGAGGTAGTGGAGCGCCGGGAGATAGGATTCCCAGGATTTCGTGAGGATGCTGGCGTGGATGATGAACATGTAGGCGCGTTGGGCGAAATTGTCGGTGCGGCGGGTTGCGAGGATGGATTCGCGGAGTTTGCGCATGGCGAGGAGGATGTTGGGTAAATCGTTGGGTGCGCGGTCGGTGGCGGAAGCAGGGCGATGGGGGAGTTGGGGTCGTTCTTGCGTTGATGTTGACGATGTGATTTTTGGGGGTCCCGGGAGAGGGATTGGGGCTTTGATGGTGTTGAGAGAAGATAAGGCTGCTTCCAGTCCTTCGCGACCGCCTGCCGAGGCGCAGAATTTCATGTATCTTCCCTTGATCTCGCGGAAGTAGGCTTCTTGGGCTTTGTAGTCGTGCAATCTCCATGGTCTGTCAGCTTTGCAGAGACGGACAGCGTCGGATTTCGAGTCAGCACCTTGTTTCTCCTTTCGATGGAAGTCCGTATGCATCGAGTGGATCCATAGGCATGGGTTTGAGTCTGTTCCAAGCGCCTGAAGGACCTCGTCTCGCGGGTGGCCGTATTGGATTTGCCATGATGGATGCGTTCTGACGGAGGGCAGCTGGGTCCAGAATTGGGGACTTTGTGAAGACCTCGGCTCCAAATACGATCACATGCAATGGTCAACGCGACATCAGCACATTGGTAAAGATGGAGACGAGAGGTGATGTTGTTTTGATGGAAGCCGTGGCCAGTCAAGGGAGGTGCGAAAGCGAGAACGAGGAAGGTCCGTGCGTGCAATCGTTCCTGACGTGTTCCGCGTCTCAACCTTCACTTCGATTCCTCGTCTGCACACATATTATGATAGAGCGCTCAACCATATTCTGCCAGGCGTAAGGTCACTTTTCTCTTTTCTCTGTTCCTGTATCTTCTCGTGCGATGGCCGGCTTTGAGAGCGAGAAGACGAGTGCCTCTTCTTCCAATGCACTGCAAACTGGCGAGACGAGAGCAGAAAAGGCCTTGACAATCCTATGGTCCCAATTGCCGGAATGGATGCAAGACAACCAATTCATCCATAGCGGTTATCGACCTCCATCGAACTCCTACGCAAGATCCGCAGCAAGTATTGGCAGCTGGCATAACGAGACCATCAACATATGGTCCCATCTGATCGGCGCCCTTCTGGCAGGCTCTGCAGGAACAAAACTTTATTTCAGCATCAGACCGAGATTCGAGATGGCGACGACCGAGGACGTCATGGTCTTCTCCTGCTTCTTTCTAGGAGCCGTCGCTTGTCTTGGCATGAGTGCAACCTACCACACCATATCGAACCACTCGCATGCTGTGGCGAAACTTGGCAACAGATTGGACTACATTGGCATTGTGTTCTTGATCTGGGGTAGCTTTATCCCATCGATATTCTATGGATTCAGCGCAGAACCTCATCTGATCAATTTGTACTGGTCGATGATCACTACGATAGGTGCGGGAACTGTGCTTGTTGTACTCCATCCAAAGTTCCGCTCTCCCTCTTGGAGGCCCTTCAGAGCGTTTATGTTCGTGATGATGGGTCTCAGTGCAGTATTTCCGGTCCTGCATGGGCTGAGCATCCATGGATGGGCAGAGGTTGAGCAACGGATCGCGTTATCTTGGTTGATCACCCAGGGGTTGCTCTACATTATAGGAGCTATGATCTACGCTGTAAGTAAGAGGGCAGCGTTTCACAAGCTGTGCTGACTGTGTGAAAGGCTCGTGTTCCGGAACGATGGAAACCAGGCGCTTTCGACATCCTTGGCAGCTCTCACCAAATCTTCCATGTCCTCGTTGTCGCAGCTGCAGCAGTCCATCTCAAGGGCCTTCTCAAGGCATTTGATCACGAATATGGTGTGCGAACGGAATCCTCATACCCGGGTGTCGGAAGATAGGACCTTCCAAAATCACTAGTATTGCTCGTCACGCCCATGACCGAATTTCGGACTTTCCTTACAGTCTGCGATCTCCGGAGCCTTGATAATCCTGATTTCGGCTGAGAGAATAGCATGTTTCCCACGAAGAGAGCTCATCATTTACCATGGCTAGGAGGAGCGAAAAAGGTGATGACTAAGCGGAATTTGAACCTTGCTCGCGAATTCAACTTCGACTTCTGATTCCTCTCGCACTCCTACAACCGGCATCAGAGATATTGTGCCTCGATCAATTCGCGTTCGAAGCAGACTCCAAAATCTTCTCCGAAAGAATTCGCAAGTGGTCTAGGGCATCACCCTGCCAGCATCCAGCAATAAGCGGTGTCTGTATCTGGTCTAGAGGTACAATTTTCAACATATGCCCCAGTGATCCCTTTCCAACCCCAGGCAACCACGGACACAAGATCTTGATGAAATAATGGACAACGTCGACCCGTTCCGCTCACAACGACTCATCTATCGCGCCGTGGAGCCAGCAGAAGACGAAGCATTCTTCTTAACACTGCAGCAAGACCCAATAGCATATCGAAGCTCAAACGCTGCACTCGCGAAACCACAATCCAAAAAGGATGCCATCAACTACATGAAGTATTGCGCCGAGGAAGCCCTCATCGGAGTGGTCATATGCCTTGCCTCAGCAGATGAGAACTCGAAACCAGTTCCCATAGGTGCAATGCAACTGTCCCCCGTCCGCTCATATCTCGGCCACCACCGATTCACAGAAATCGGTCTTGGTATCATCAAGCCTTATCAAGCTCAGGGCTACGGAACCGAAGCGATTTCCTGGATTCTAGAATGGGCATTCGACACGGCCGGCATGCACAGAGTGGCGATTCGCTGTTTCGAGTATAACGAAGGCGCGCGACGCTTGTATGAGAGGCTTGGGTTCAAGCTTGAGGGTACCAGTCGGGAGAGTTTGTATGTTGCTGGTCGCTGGTGGGATGAGGATCAATTTGGAATGCTAGATCGTGAGTGGCGGGGAAGGAGAGAGCGGGAAGGTGTGGAGATGGAGAAGGAGCTTTTTTTGAAGGGGATGATGGAGCATGCGCAGTGTTGAAGGCGTGGTAGTGCTCACCTCTGGCTGGGCGACGAAACTCTTACTCAAGAATTTTGAATGCCTACCTACCTGCCTGCCTGGCTCGTGGTGGCTCGTATCTTGTTCAACTGATTCGCGGCTGGCTAGCGGATATAGTTTCATTTAGCAACCTATCTCATCATTCGTAGAAAATCTCTATCTAATCTAAACGAAAAATGCGAATAGAACGGGAGTTTTTGCTTCCTTTACGCTCGCTCGTAGGAGTAGTAGAAATAGTCTATAACTTTTTTTTACACCCTCCCCCCTCCTATTATTTTCTCCGCTATTCTATAAAACCTTTCTAAGTTTTTTTTTTCTTTTTCCCCGGAATACGAGCGAAAATTCGATAGTAGATAGAATAAGCCGTTGCTATTATTTCGTACGATCCTAAACAATTCGAGTGCTCTGGCCATTCGATTTCGCGGGTAGCTCACATTACCTCGCTGTCCATGCCGACTCCAGAAGAGTTGCTCCACCTCACTGTGCACGCTGGTTTCAGAAGAGTCACTCGAAGTGCCTCGCTCGTACAGATTACTTGCCGAGAAGAAGGGATCAGCTTAGCATCATCACGTCCGGCAGTTCGTTCGCGGTGCTGGCTAGTAAGGCTCGCCTCGTGCTGCCCCAAGGGAATCCAGGGAAGGAGGATCTATCTGTATGCAGGGCAAAAGATCAGCAATCTGCGAGGCGAAAGCAGGGTTCAAAGTTTGTTGCTCGACCGGAGCGAGGGGCATGAGGCTGCCACTCACAACTTCTCACTCGTGTATCGGATGGAGCTCCCTAGACGATCGCTGGTAATCGGTGGCAAGTGTTGGCCAGGCGCGAGTTGTTGGATCAGCAAGCGTGCTTACTGTATGGATCTGGGCGTGGCGGGATCAAGCAGTGCGTGCGTGCAGTGCAGTGAGCTCAAAGCATCGTAGTTGTAGTTGCCGGTAATTGTGCCGCGTGAGCATTCACCGTGCATGACGCGCACATTCGGAGCCGCGCGGAGGGACAGCGTGAGCCGAACAGGGAAATGTAGCTTCGCAGACCGCACTGCATGATAATAACGTAGCCATCAGCAGCAAGAGAGGCACAGTCGTTGGCGGGGTGCTGATAGGAAGCGTGCTCTACCCGGCAAGGCTGATCCGCTTTCGGAAAAGTCTAGATTCGATCGTCTGGGGTCCACTGGAGATGCGGGCAGCGGGACGATGGAGCCTGCGGGCGTCTTCACCGACGCAGTGAGAGATGTACAGGAGCATGTCTGGATGTGTACACAGGGGATGATGAGTGAATGAAGCATGCACCGGTGAATAATAATGTGCAGTGGAAGCGTGCGAGGTGTGGTAGCGGATGGAGGGGAGAGGGGAGTCAGGCCTGCAGGAATGACGTTCGTGCACGCGACAATCCAGGGTCAGGGCAAGGGCCAGCATTCGCTCACGCCATTCAGTTGCCGCACTCGCACTCACTCACTGACTTTCAGGTAGTAGTGTGCTCTCGTGCTCGACTCATCATCTCCTCGCTCTCGTGCTCGACTCATCATCTCCTCGCCCTCGCACCCGCCCTCGCCCTCGCCCTCTGCTGCCGCCGAAATACGCACCCCCAGCTGTGCCGCTGCCTGGCCATCGTCGCTGTCACCTTCCTTCTGCCCTGAAAGAAGAGGCCGCCGCATTCCTTGCCTCAGGCACACCTACGCAACTCCGATCTCTGCTTTGACGTCACCGAAGTCGACCTGTGACCGCACGCGTACCTGCACCGCAGCCACCACTGTCTAACAACTCTGAACCTGAGCATGTCGAACACTTGGCAACCCGTCTAGACTCCTGCGCCCGGATAATGCTCCACCCTCGTCACAAACTTGTGGCGCGTGCTCTGTCGACATCACTCGCCCGCCCCGACTACTCAGCCATTAATCAATAATATTCAATACGAACGCCTGTGCGACACTACCAGTCACCGGGCACGCCCCTCGCCTCGCCTCGCCGCGCCCCGCGCCAACGACATCATGACCGAGACAGCGACCTCGCCGCGATATCAGCAGTCGCAGCGCACCTCGCAGCGACCGACCACCACTCCCTCGACAAATCCCGCCATGACGCCTTTTCTCTCCCCGCCGCCGCCTATGACCAGTCCACAACGACGTCAGCCGCCGCACACTCCCTCGCCCAATTATTTTGCCTTCCACACAGATGCCTCCTCTTTCCTCACCGATACCCCCCACCATGCCAAGAATAACTGGAGTCCTCCCTCCTCAACTGTGCGCTCGACCGCCGCCATCTCACCCAGCGTAGTCCCGCTCGACCAATCCCCCGAATATGAAGCATTTAGGAAACAGTCGGAGAGCAGCAAGACTTTCAGTCTAGGTGGTCTGAACAACTTCAAGATGACTATGCCTGCGTCGAGTACACCATCTTCCCGCCCGAGCCGTGACAGGACCTCTAGTCGCTCGTCCGTGCACAAGTCCTCCAAGTCTGGCACGACACCCAGAGACATACCCATCGCATCGCATCGAAACATGCTCGACACCTCACACGGCCTGTCTCATTCACCCAAGCGAGTGCTGAGTCCTGGCTCGAAAACGGAAAGTAGACGCCGCGGATCACCGCCTACCTTTGATGGCGTGACAGGTCAAGCTCAGACGGAATCGCCTCAGACCGAGTCGCCCAAGTCTGCAGGATCTGAGCACCATCGATTCCAGTTGCCTCTCGATAATTTAACTGCTTCCTACAATGCTACCAAGACACGAGCGGACACAATACCCCTCACATCGGACGGCGATGATAGATTCATGGTGCCGCCCCAGCATGTCATCAACCTCATCAATTCAAAGGGTGATAATATATTATTATTGGACCTACGTGTACAGACACAATACGCACATTCTCGTATCATGACAGCATTGAATTTGTGCATACCGACCACATTGCTGAAGCGACCGTCTTTCAACGTGCACAAGCTGGCCGACACTTTCAACGACGAAATCCAACGAGCGCGATTCGAAAATTGGCGCAAGAGCAGTCACATTATCGTCTACGACGGCAACTCCTCAGCGTTGAAAGACGCCACCATCTGCATGAACACCATCAAGAAATTCCAAGGCGAGGGTTTTGGTGGAACACTCTTCATCATTCGAGGTGGATTTAATGAATTTGCGAAGACCTTCCCCGCTTATATCGAGAGTGGTGCAGATGCTTCGCCGGGTGGGGCAGCAAACGGCGTTGACAATGACGGACCCAAGGTCGCACCTGTTATAGGAGGCTGCCCGATGCCTTCTACTGACAAGCCAGCGAATCCATTCTTCGGAAACATCAGGCAAAATATGGATCTCATCGGCGGTGTCGGCCAAATCCCCATCAAGCACCCCAACAAGGAGACCAAGTCGGCGGAAGAAGAATACCCACACTGGCTCAAGTCTGTTGCGGAGGAGCGAAATCAGGGCCAGACGGTGTCGCAACGATTCGAGCAGATTGAAAGACGCGAAAAGAAGCGAATGGAAGATGCACTTTCGGGAAACGTATCGTGGGGGACGCCGAAGCAGGAAACCGGCGGTTCTGTCCGCATTGCTGGTCTGGAAAAGGGCAACAAGAATCGCTACAACAACATCTGGCCTTTCGAGCATTCCCGCGTGAAGCTGCAAGGCGTGCCAAGCCACGGCTGTGACTACTTCAATGCCAGCCACATCAAGGCCGCCTGGAGCAATAAACGATACATTTCGACGCAAGCACCAATTCCCGCCACATTCAATGACTTCTGGGACGTCGTCTGGCAGCAAGACGTGCGCGTCATTGTCATGCTTACAGCAGAGAAGGAGGGCGCGCAAGTCAAGGCACACAACTACTGGGATGAGAAGCAGTATGGTAGTATTCATCTGGAATTTCTCTCCGAAAAGCGCGCATCGCTCGAGCCTTCACGAATTAAGCGACATCAGAAGCGACCTTGGGCGGTCAAGCGCCACTCCACCAACTCTTCGAACCCACAAGTGCCGCTCGCCACAATCGACGGTAAGGAGGAGAAAGGTGGCGATCAGCCGTATGTGATTGTGCGCAAGTTCTTGGTTCGCCACGACCGATTTGCCTTTGAGCCACCGCGCGAGGTCACACAGTTGCAATACTCCAACTGGCCAGACTTCGGCGCGCCCGCTCATCCTGCACACTTGCTCGGACTCGTGGAGCAGACGAACGCGGTGGTACGAGCGAATAATAAGACAAACTCTTCCGAGCCCGAGCCACCGAACAAGCGACCGGTCCTTGTGCACTGCAGTGCTGGATGTGGCCGGACAGGTACTTTCTGTACGGTCGATTCGGTCATTGATATGCTCAAGCGTCAGCACATCTCGAGAAATTCACGACAAGGCACACCGATGGACATTGACAAACAACCGCCACGCAAGGAGAGTGGCGGTGGCTTCTTTGCCTCTCAATCGCAGTACCAGGAGAACAGCGAAGCCATTGACGGTCCTTGGACGCAGAAGGACGATCTCGACTTGGTCGAGAAGACAGTGGAAGACTTCCGACACCAGCGCATCAGCATGGTGCAAAGTCTGAGGCAGTACGTGCTCTGCTATGAAAGTATCATGGAATGGCTCGTGCAGGAACGGGAATCGGCCAAGGCGGCCACGGATTGACTTGTATTGAAGAGGCGAAACATATTCTTGGATGCGCTGGAGTCTGCTGCTGATCATAAACGACAGCGCAAGCGCATGGCGTTGGAACATTGCCGTCAAGCGACGGCGACATGGGTTGCATAGCATTGGATGAATATTTTGCATGGCCTTGGGAGGGGCATAACATCTTGATACAGACGATGACAGCAGCATATTTTTAGAGTGTGTCAAGTCCGAGAGAATCGCAAATGTCAGGACCTGAGTTCGAAGCGTTTTTTTCTTTTTTGGCTTCGAAGTTTCGAACTTTTTTTTTCTACTATGAAATGGAAACTCCTATACCTCTTCTTCTGCTCTTACTCGACAGAATACGGGGAATTCGAGGCATGAAATTCCGCGCTTCTTCTCTTCTCTTCTCTTCTCAAATGTATGTATGTCTGTAGCTGTCGAAGTAGAATAAATTCCATTGGGAATTTTTTTTTCCCTTCTTCTTTGTCACCAATTTTCGTTCCAGCCGCTTTAACGTCATCGAATCATGTTACTTATATGCCCGACCGATGCGCAGCGTGCGATATTCGAAGACAACCTGGTTTCAGAGGGAAGGACCGTGGTAATGAAGTCTTGCCTCGCTTCTATGTGTGTTCCGGGCTTTATCCTTCAGAGTATACCCGGATCTGGTTGGAAAGCGTCGAACACATCCACCAGGCTTCGGGTTGCAGTATCGTATCGTTATGCTGTCGACTAGCATAGAACTATGTATGGAACACAGGAGCTTGAAGATGACATCGGGAATGAATAGGATTGCAAGGCCGCCTGTTTTATGTATGAGTTGATCCTGCAGCAAGGTTGGTCGACTCGGCGATGCCTCGGCTAGTGAGCCTTATGAGTGGACATATTCGATTCTGAGTCCCCTTCCGTCATCCAATCACATCCTTCGATTCACTTCGAACATGGGATAGAACGCCCGCTTGGCTTAGTGGTACAGCGTCTCACTCGTATGCTTCGTGATGCGAATATGAGAAGATCCTCGGTTGTAAGTGTGCTTGTAACTTAGTAACTGCGTTGAAGTTTGAGGATAGGTGCTAATAAAAAGGTAAATAGCGATTCCGAGAGTGGGCAATTTGCAGAGTAAGAATTTTGTTTTTTTTAGGGATTTTTTTTTCTTTTACTAGAAGTAGTAGTAGGCCCGAGGTCGAGAGACGAAAGCTAGCTAAGTATATAGTAGGATCTGTCTAGTAAGGAGTCCTACTACTTATATAGTTTAGTAGGATCTAGAAGATAGAATTAGTACCTTTATATATAATATCTAAGAGCTAGTATTATCTATATCCTTATCTTCTTTCTTTTAGATAGGAAAGTTATCTCTATTATCTTTCTTACTATATATAGGATAGTAAAAGCATTACTAAGCTAAGAACTCTAGGGTCCTAGCTTCTTATTAGTAACTAAGGCGAGACGAGATAAGATATAGTAGAAGGCTTCTTAAGGGAGGTAGTAATTTAAAGGGTTATTTATTATTAGTAGATTATAGAATAGATTTAATAGAAGAGTAAAACGAATTTATATACTAGTAAGGATAGATATTACTAGTAGAAGCTATACCTTTACGACTCTAAAAGAATTCTAAGGAATATATTATCGAGTATATTTAAAAAAAAGTTAGTATCTAAGAGAGGGTTTAGAAAAGGGAGGTCTAAAACATTTCTATATTTAAGTAGTAAAGGACGGAAACTAATACTACTATAACTACTAATAGTAATAGTATAAGTCTCCGAAAGCAGTATAACCTATAGCACTATAGGTAGCTATACTTAGTATAATAGGATAGTAAACTTATTATTTAAGCTATAATAATTAGAGCCCTATAATAGAGGCACTATTAGAGTATAATATAAATAGTATATTGTACGAGGTTAATAATCTATCTAATTCTATAGAAGGAGGCCTCTTTTATAGGCTTACTACCTAGCCTAAAGGGTATAGGGCCGGTTACTAGCTAATATCCCTCTCTTTTCTTTGTATCTAACTAGATATATCTTATAATTAAACGCTAAAAACAAAGAAATAGTTATATATTATATATTACCTTAGCACTCTTAGCTAAGGCTATTTTCTTAAATTCTATAATAATACCCCTAGGGTAGTATTATTCCTAGCCTAAGGTACTATTAATATATAAAAACATCGCTCTAATCTATAAGTAAGTAACTAATCTACTATACCGACTTACTATTGCTTTAAAATACCGTAATCCTTACTAGTAATAGTCTTATCCGCCGGTCGGCTCTAGAGATCTCTTCTATAGATATTAAAGCTATTAGTATTAGTACTATAATACTACTTCTTATAGAGGGCTTAATTAATAAGGAGGTTAGTAGCTTTCTCCTTAATAGCTTTCTCCTAATCGCGTAGATATTCCTTAAGTTCCTACTTAGTAAATTAGAGGATTTATTTAACTTCGTTCTAAATAATATACCTTAACTAAGGAATTCTACTAACTAGGGCGTCGGAAATATAACTAAGACCTTCGACTAAAATAGCTATAGGGAAAGCGAATAGTATAAAGGAGTTAGAGCCTAGGAGAGCCGTTAGATTACGATATACTTTAGTAACCTACGAGACTATTAAGTTCTCGTAGCCCTTAACCTTAGTACTATTAATAATACGAGAGTAGCTTAGGTCGATTAATATATAGTCACTCTTAGCCTTCTAATCGCTGTATAAGAGGTATAGTATCTAAATAGAGACTTCGTACTCCTTAAGGGAGATAAGGATCTACTCGGCTTACTACTCGCTATTAGGCTAACTATCGAATATATACTCGAGATCGTCGACGGTAAGGTACTTATTAGTAAGCTTAACGATCTTATTTAATAGAACTAGACCGCGGTTATTAAGCTTCTATACCTAGTTTATAAAGATCTCTAGCTTATATATACCTTCGATAATAGTAGAGTAGCTAGTCTTATTTTTAGATATAAGGCTAACTATAATATAAAGGCAGCTAGTACTATCGCTAGCTACGAGCTTTACTAAGTCTTATCCGATACGAGTAGACTCCTTAGTAGGGTAGTTTTTATAACCTTCTTCGCCTACCTTAAACTACGTAGTAGGCTTAGGAATAGAAATAAGCTCGTAGGCGTAATCGGGTCGAAGGGTAACGGCTAAGAGCTATAAGGCAGGATTCTAGCGGATAATCTAGTTACTTACTCTATAATTTTAAAAGGTATTACAGCCTTCTTACTTCGACTTAGGTAGCGTACGTATATACTAAAAGTATATTTTAAACTCCTCCTATACTAGGTCGATAAGGAAAGGAAGATATACTCTATAAGGGGCTTATAACTAACCGAAGACTCGAGGGAAGGTAGTATTACTAGTCTAACGAAAGCGATCGAAGGAGATGCCTTAGCTAAGAATACTAGCGACTAACCTTCTTTAGCGATTAGTAGGCGTAAGATCGCGAGTAATAGTACTAGTAGCGTTAAATACGTAGAGTCCTAGGGAGGTTAGGGCGGTAATAGGACGTCTAGGAAACTAGTTAGTATAGGCCGGATTAGCCTTAAGGGTAGTAAAGCTATCCTACTATATATTGCCCTATAGCTAGAATAGCTATACCGAGGGAAGGAGATAATTATAAGAACCTAAGTAAGTAAAGTCTCCTATCCTACCTTAGTAATTCTATATAATAGTTATATAATATTATTACGTATACTACGATGCTAATCTGCTAGCGTAAAGCCTACTTAGCGTATACGCGGAGAAGCCCGGTCGCTTATACGGATATACTCGGTAGCCGGCTCGGTAGATATACTAGCCGGGCTAGCTTAGTTAATAGTAAATACTCTACCCTATTCTTAGGAAGGTACGGTTTAGTTCTACTATCTACTACTACGATTAGTAGAGAGTGTTCTATACGTTACTATAGACCTATTTTCTTATATTATTACGGAAGGAAGTATAATACTACACCTTAAATTCTCGTCGAAATAAGCGGTCTCTACGTCCGACTTAGCGGTTAGAGGCATACTGTTCTAGCTACTTATATACTTTAGGTAAGCAATCTATATACTCTAGTCGTTCTTAATTAACGACTGCTTATTCTTTAAGTAGTCTATAGTGCGCTCGGTACTATATTTCTTATTTATTAACGTAGCTAGGTCTCGGAGGTTACCTAACTAGAGGTTATTAGTATTAGTACTACGGCTAATCTTCTTAAACTTATTTTGCTACTCGAGGAAGTACTCGGTCTACTCTTAAGTCTACTATTATAGCGCTTTATACTGCCTATCTTTATAAATTAGTATTATAGTCGCTATATACTTCTAAGTCGCCTTTACTATTAACGAAGGTATCTTTAATAAAGCCTAAGAGGGCTAAAAATTAGCAGATTAAGATACTATATTAGCTAGTATTCGAATAGCTTTAAACTAAGAGACTAGCTACTTAACTAACTATATATTTCTATAGCAACTATACTATAAACTATACTAGCCGAAGTACTCGTCCTTTTCGCTCTTCGCCTATAATTTATTACAACCTACGCTATTATCGATATTATTATAAATAGCAAATACTATTAGAAGCTATATAGCTTACTAGATATAACTTTAGCAGAACACAACAATAGCAGCGAACAACTAGAGACGAAGGGAAGACAGTTAAGAAGGAAGGGAGGACGAATAGAAAGCACTATGTACTAGGGCAGAGGAGGTACTAAAGGCGGAAGATAGAAGAACCCCTAAGAGGGTATATAGGATGATAATCTTAGAACTCCTTAGAGGACTGAAAGCAATCTACAACTAGGCAAGCTACGTAATTACAAAGGTAGCTAATACAGTCGCAGTAAAGATTACGAAGAAACAATAGGAGACAAGCCTAAACTACCGCACCTAGGCAGTAGTAGCTAGTTAGGAGGCGCTAAAACCCCCGAGGACAGTAGTTAGAGTCTATATTACGGACCTATAGGAGCAAAAGGAAATCTAAGGACTTATAGGGAAGGAGATTATAGAAAGAATTGTAGTTAAAGAGGTAATTAGGGCTAGGAACGAAGGTAAAGGGGTAATTAAGCTGTTTATAGTATAAGAGTAGGACAAAAAGAAGCTAGAAACACAAAAAGAATAGACAACCAAGATAGGAAAAACAGCAAAGGTCTCCTAATAGCAATTTATAATCATAGCCTATAGTATAATAAGAAGCTTTAAGGAAGAACAGGATATTAGGAGCCTATAGAGACAAAACTAAGCTATATACCTAGGCCTAAAGATTACAAAAGTAGCATAGATCAAAAGGAAAATCGAAGAGACTAAGAAGCAGTCTTCCCTAATTATCTAGGTAGGGAGTACAGAGCAAGCTAATATAGTGCTAGACTAGGGGCTGTTCTAGGACTTTAAAAGATTGGAAACAGAGATATATAGAAGCAACTATAGGATAATGCAGTACTTCAAATGTCAACACTATAGACACTTAGTAGCTAAGTGTATAAAGACAACTAACACCTACTCCTATTGTATAGGGGATTACTAGGTTAAAGAATACAAAGCATACAAGGGAGAAGCAAGATATATATACTATACTAAAAGATACCCCTCTTAGGCGAAGGAATGCCTAGTAAGAATACAGGCAGCTAGGAAGGCAAAGGAAGCTAGAATCAATACACTAAAAAGATATACAACAAGCTAGGGTAGCTAGGTGCAGAAGCAACCTAGCTAAGTGCTACAAAAGAGGTCTAGATAAGATAATAGGTTTACATTTAGGGCCTTACTAGCATAAGAGAGTTACTAGCAACTAGGGAGACTAAGACACCTTAATATTGTAGGAAAGGAAGTAGGGCAGATAAAGCTTAGTCAAATGTTAGTCTAAAGTAAGGGAAGACTAAAGGAAAGCTTATAGGGAAATAATATAGATAAAACCTAATAAACATTGTAACATTACTGAATATTATATAGTACAATATTAACAAGAGCAAAGACAAGGTATAGAGGAGCTTCCTTTAAGCACTAAACCTAAAAGAACACTATATTATTGCAATCTAAGAGCCCTAGCTCAACCTATATACAAAGAGACTAGCAATAGTTAAAGACCTAAGATACTACCTAATTATCTATAACTAGGGAGCCCTAAGGATATACA